TTGACCTGAACTTGACCTGACCTTCACCAGAACGTAGCCTAAAACTGGCCTCAAAGGTTGCATTACCCACATAATCACATTTTTCACGTAAAATGGACCATTAAAACATTCGCCCCAGTGGGGGGGGGGAAATGTTACCACCCTGTCGCGTTTTTTGTGTGTAAATAAAAAACCGCGGCGCGTAGCGCCGCGCCGCTTAGGGTTCGAATAAAAACGCAATAATTATCATAGCCCTTATCGTCCACGTACCAAATTTGAGATACATATTATATACCTCTCTTTTAGCTAAGTTATAGCGGAGAAAACTGTTCTTAAATGATGACGCATGATTTCCAAAACACATTTTTAGCAATTCTGACCGCGTCGCGCAAAACAAAGGCCACGATGATTAGACTTCCCGTGACGAGCTGCATCGAGTCAATACTTATTTCATAAAATATCAACTCAAAATTTGACCTAGTTTGACCTGAACTTGACCTGACCTTCACCAGAACGTAGCCTAAAAGTGGCCTCAAAGGTTGCATAACCCACATAATCACATTTGTCATGTAAAATGGACCATTAACATTCGTCCCAGTGGGCGGGGGGGAATGTTACCACCCTGTCGCGTTTTTTGTGTGTAAATAAAAACCCGCGGCGCGTAGCGCCGCGCCGCTTGGGGTAGCTTTTTTACATCAATTTTGGACAATGTGTGAAATTTTTGACCCCAGGTTATGTTAGGTCAGGTCACCAGGTCAAGTTAACCCGCGCCCCACTGGGGTCTGCGTATAACACACCCTACTGGGGGGGGGGGGGCTCTTCATAGCTCCCCTCCTATCTCCGAAACTACTGGGCTGATCGTCAAAATTCAAACGGCGTCTGATAGCCCCGGAAAAACTGTCGAACGAAACCTAATTACATTGACCTCGAGGTCACCGATGACGTCACAGGTCAGGTCAAAGTAAAAATTACAAGTGTTTTGGCTTGTTCACATTTTGGGCTCTGGCCGCCGTCTTACAAGTCAGATCAGGCTACTTTTTGATGAACTCATGAACAGATGTTCCAGATACCCTGAGGGTACCAAACTTGTACTTTGATTTTCAGGTAAGGGTCAGGTCATTACAGGTCACGGAAATATTATATCATGCGTCGGTCACGTGACAAATGATTTATGGTCCATTTAGGCCATATATTTCGAATTTGATGTCGTCTGTGTCATTTGAAGTCATTTTGAGTCGAATTTAGCTTAGGTCAGGTCACTTTCAGGTAAAAAAGTCAAATTTTTGAAATTAAAATTTTTCAACAAAAAAGGTGTCAAGTGGATGCAGTTTGAGCTCAGGAACACGATGGTGCTATTTATATTGGTGTAAGATGTCAAATACGCACTGAAACGTGATTTGAAAAATTATTTATTGTAATTTTTTGCAATAATGCGTATAACTTGGCCATTTTTGAAGACATTTAGCTAAAACTTGCTGAAATTAGTCATAAGCATGCGTTCTATCACATTTCTTCCGTTTTTGTTCGAAAATTCAATTTTTTTTTTGAAAAAAATAAAAATATAAATTTAGAATTTTATTAAATGAAATTTTCAAAATTTTCAAAACCTTGAAAATTCGAAATAGCAGTTTGATAGCGCAGTCTATTCTGAGTCCTTTCATGCAAAGAAATTGGATCTAGGTTAAAAAGTGAGCTCTTGGGAGCGATTGCCGTGGTTGATTGTTTTGCGTCGAAATCGGCCGAACATGACGTCACTCTGACGGCATTTCCGGCCGACCAATGGTAGCTACGAAGTTCATATTTTAACGCAAGGTGTAAAATTGATGCAGCCGAAGGTATTGAAAGTTTGGCGTTGACACGTCAAGCAGTTTGGAAGTTATTGCAGAAAAACGGGAGGGGGCTATGAATAGCCCCCGCAGTGGGGGGCGGTTAGCTGACCAAGACTAAAACAGTTTGCAATCATGTCCAGCCTGCAGTGTTTGTCAGAGAGGTTTTAAACTTGGTGGATTGCATAACGTTATGGGCGCCTACAATTTGTATATCTCGGATTTTTTATATCCGTGACTTAAGGTCAGGTCAGTGACGTGACCTTTCCATTACAAGTCAATGGAGAAAAATGAAAATGCCTCTAGATCCGTGTGTACGCATAGGAACAGTCCAAATTTTTTCAGAATCACAATGATTGGGACCACCCGTGACGATCAAGGTTTCTTTTTTTGCTGATAGCTCCTAGAAAGGTCATCCGCGGTCATTTGAGGCTACAAACAGATTTTTGCCAATAACTCGTGATTGGAAAGAGATAGAACGCTTGGAATGGTCTCATTGTGTTTGTCTTGCCGAGACGCATCGACTGATATGCAACATGACCTTTTCCAGTCAGGTCATGACCTTGACCTGAGGTCAAATTTTCAAGTTGACCTTTCAAGGTCAAATTATAGTTATTTCGATGCGTCTCGGCAAGAGGAAAACGATTCTGGCAATAGAAATGTCGTGGCTTTTTTTAGTCAAAAGTTATTGTCGAAAAACACTTTTCGTAAAAACAGCTATTTTTGGAGTTTTTGCCCTCTGGAGGCTAAACCGTTGACCTGAGGTCAATTGTGATAAAAAACCTTATCGAGAGAATAGTTCAAGAACTATCGATTGCTTTTCCACGCATTTTTCTAGCTATCATATTTCCTGAGATAAATGCATGTTTTCTGACAAATATAATAATGACGTTTGGCAAATTTTGACCTTTGATTACCTCCAGTGATCCTAATATTGCTCTAAGATGAAAATTGACCGAAATACTTTCAAACTTACGCATTGAGAGCTATCGACTGCTTTTTACAGCGTCTTTCTAGCCCTCTTAGTTTTTGAGTTAGAGGTGGGTGGTAACATATGCCCCCCCCCCCACTAGGGCGAAGTTGGCTGAGACCGCCACTGGGGCGCTGGTTAAACATGTATCACACGACACTTTCATATTGTGATCCTCAGTGACCTGACCTCTGTTACCTGACCTGGTATCAGTGACCTCAAATAGCAAACTATGTGTTTCACGAGTAATTCGTGCGAGGCAACGGGGCGCGGGCTAACAAAAAGATCCGTTTTTTATTTCAGTTTATTTCAAAAATCACTTTTATATTTTGGGGTTCTAAATAAAAACAAATATGTAAAAAAAATAAGACAGTAGTTTTGTAGCGCTGCTTGTTTTATATCTTTTTGTTTTTCAACATTTTTCTCTATCTTCAAAACTTTGGACTTGACAGCTCTGCCCACCAAACCTCTTTTGGATCGGAAATGCCTGAACATGACGTCAATCTGACGTCATTTACGGCCAACCTATCATACCTATGCTGTGGAAAAAGGTCACAAGGTGTAAAATCGATTTACAAGAGGGTACTGAAATTTTCGCGACGATCGGCGCATAAGTTTGAGAGATAATGCGAAACGACTGGAAGGGGGGGGGGGGCAAAAATACCCCCCACCATGGCGCGGGCTAAAAAGTTTCCACTGGGTCCTCTAAAGTAAAGGTAACCTCAGGATTGTGGATACGCCGCTGGATGTTCTCTACGATATTAGACTAAGAGCAGTGTAAACACGGGCGACAAAATATGAAAAGGAATTAGGATTGATTGACTTTCACATCGGGTTTGACAGCTTGGATAATATTTATTTGAAGCGCATTATATTTACTCCGACAGGATGTGCAAAATCTCGTCACTGCCGGGGCAACTGGCAGCCACTGCGGGACATTTGCCCCCTCCCCAGTAGCGCGGAACACCTTCAATTAAGGTGGGGGGGGGGGGGGGCATTGCCGACTTTTGGTCCCATTCTGTCCATGCAACGCCCATAGGGCTTATGTTAAAATGCCGAAATCAAGGGGACACGGTTCCCCGGTGCACCCCCCGTTCCGCCCCTTATGCCCTCTTCCCCGTTAATGCATGTAAGCACCCACATCCAAACACTCAGACGGGTACCTAGCACACAGATAAGACACACAAAGACTCACAGAATCACATCCACACCGTTACATAAACACCTATGGTCTGACAATAGACACAGACGCACAAAACACACTCAGACAACAGACACAGGGACACACAGATCCCCCCCCCACACACACACACACAGGTCGGTCCTGCTCACCTGATATTCGCCGCCTCCGCCGTGGTCGGCTCCGGTGGACAGAGCTCAGTACCGTCCACACACTGTTGGACCACCCGCTCTGTTGACTGACCGGCCGGTGGACGCAGTGCAGCTCGTGCGGCTCCCGCTCCTCCGTCGGCCTTTGTCCCTGTCTGGAACTGCGCCGAACATCAACACCGCGAGTCGGTGTGTCGGCAGAATCGATCGTGTTCAGTGAGTCGGCGGCGCGGTGTCCTGGCCTGATGACGTCAGTGGGGGGTCACCAGGGTTACAGGGACAACACGGGCCGCCGGTCGATGTGCAGTCCCCCCCTCCCCTTCCCTTCCCTTCCCCAGTCCCCGGGACAACTCATGCAACTCGGCAAAACAAAACATAGTGACGAGCAGACATGTGCAGGGATGGAAGAGGCGTGTCTATGATCTCAGTGGATATCTCGACAAAATGGAGGGTTCAGACCTACATCTCATCCCTCGCCCGGTCAGGGGTTGGGGAGGGGGAGATTGATCAACCCTCGCCCGCACATGGGAGGGGGGTGGTAACCACCTTCCCCCCCCCCGGTAGTCTTTCTGCTCTGCACTCAACATTGTTAGAGCTAGAAGTCTGATTTTTCGTATAGCTGCTCCTCTATCCTTTCTTGAAGTTTCTGTGGTTTTTGGCTCGGAGATATGGCCTTGTTTTTCAGGTCATGTCATGACCCAAATGACCAATTCTCAACATCTTGCGTTGGCTATGGGCCTTGTGAGCTTTTGACACCTTGATTTCGACCTGTTATGCCAGTCTTACCTCCCATCTATCATGGAACATGTTGTTTGACGATGTACAGATGTCAAAGTCAGGGTCAAGGTCAACCTAGGTCATCTAAGATAATTGCGTTTTAGGCAAGCTAAATTAACTTTTTTTTGAAGTTTTTTTACTGCATTTTTGGAAAAAGCTTCTCAGATCATGATTTCATGTAATATGGACACATAAACAATCGGTGCACACATCAGTATACACGCAGACACACACAGACATACAAACACATATCATTGACCTTGACCTAACTTGACCTGAAATGACCTCAGCAGCAAAAACCTGGTCGGATAGTGTGACAAAGAGGTTCTAGCTGGCTTGGCACCAGAAAACGGCATCGTCATCGGTATATGATAAGCAGCGCACTTGATATCCAACGGTGACCCAAAACAGCAACATTTTTTAGTTTGACCTGACCTGGAAGGTCAATGACTGACCTGGGAAGGTAAAACTGGGTATCATTGGATTCGTCTCTTCCCAAAGAATCTTTTTGGTCTTTATCGCTAAGCTCTATCTCCAACAGGAACGAAATGGCGCGGGGGTGGCAACCCCCTCCCCCCCCCATGTGCGTTCTAGGATGGGAAAATGGCATGTGCGGGCGAGGGTTAATTAATACAGTTCAGTACATACAGGTCATACAGGTTCAGTACATACAGGTTCGTTTGCAAGAGTATAAAGTAGGTATGTACAATACAGTGGCTAATGTTTGTGTAGCATGTAGGTAGCATGGCACACATATGTCCGCTGAACGTTTGTCACTGAAACTGTTACTTTATGTACTATGTAAGTACCTACCACCATTCAGAAGTAATAGTACGCGTTTCCTCAACTACTTCTCACCGGTAACGTATAGCGTCCTCAGTGACGTCGGCAGCAGCCGCAGCCACCGCCCCGTTCCGAAGGACGGGACCCTGACGGTCAGCTCCTCCAAGCGGGGAAGACTCTGCAGGAGCGCCGTCAGCTGGTCCTCGCCAAGGGCTGACGGAGCGTCGAACGTCGTCACGGTCCTTAGCGCCTCTCTCAGCACTGTGGTATCACTGTCTGCCGGTGGCTGCGGCTCCGTCTGTACCGTGACGTCATGAAACGCTTTTGTAATTTTACTGAAAAGACAAGAAAAAGAACATAAATCAAAATGCAAAAAAAGTTCACAACTTTAGTTGGCTCCTTTGATGATCCGATATGCATTTACATATCGTCGTCAGCAATAGTATGTTGCCAAATCTATTCGGTTGAATAAAATCGTTCAGAGTTGAATTCATACGAATCTGAACGATTTGATACGACCGATTAGATTTTGTGACACGATTGCTGATGAAGACATGTAAATACGTGCGGGATATAATGCCCCGAACTGGCCAACTTTATGCAGATTGCAGGACGTCTGTCGAAAACTGGAACAATACGATCGAGACTAAACGGCTAACTTGCGAAAGATGGTACGAATTCCAGGCATGTTTCTTTGATTGGGCGGAAATTACAATTACAAGTTACTCGACCTTCAAGGACCTAGTTGTGGTTTATTTCTTACACCTTCTACAAAGAACGTTTACTTCTCACCATGACAGCTCTCCAAAATCTCTCAGCCCCCACAGCCACCCCTGCTGCCTTCCAATCTCACCCCTGGGGACGGCCGGATGGCGCCGCTCGCCGGCGGACCTCCTGCCGCAGCTCCTCCACCACGGTCTGGCGAGTGGTCCGCTCCTCGATAACTGCCTGCTCCAGGCGGACCATCGCACCGTGAAGTGCGGCGCTCTCCCCCTTGAGTTTCTTCGTGTCTGAATTGTCTTTCGCCACTACCTCACTCAGAATGGTCACCTTTTCACGAAGGGGGGCCACCACTCCACGAAGGGCGGACATCTCTTCACGAAGGGCAGCCACCACTTCACGAAGGGCGGACACCTCCCGGTGAAGGGCGACCAGGTCTTCACGCACATCTGTCATCTCCATCTGTAACGCATAATTACAGTTTTCTACGTTTCTACTAATCATTTAAAGGTGACTTAGTACGTAGCGTTACGTCGTACGCATTACGACATGTCGTGCAGCGTCGTGTAATATCATGTCACAAAACGACGTGTCATTACGTATTACGACATGTTTTGTCATGCAACCCGCATTGTTGCATACCAGGCAGGCAAGCTTGGCAGGCAGGCAAACAGGTCTTAGGTAACCAATATCAAAATTTACTATCGTTACTACTTTTTCGCAAAAAAAAACGATATAATAAAGAAACGTTTATCACTACGAATGTTTACCATTGGCCAGGCCTTTTTCATAACGCGGACGGTGAGGGTAGAGGGGCTGGTACGACCCCTGGCGATTACCTCCTAATGCACTTAGAAACACCAGATGTATAGGGTGTTTAGGATGGATAGGATGTATAGGATACAGACAGTCACACAGCAGGACTGACACAGTCACACAGCAGGACCTCGGCTAAGGAATTTCGAGGATGGGGGACAAACCAGACTCCACAATGTCATATACCCCCTAATATACACCGTATAAGCGGACCTTTACACCACACCTAACATACATATACCGTAGGTAACGGTATACCAAATCCTGCCTAATCAGTTAGGCATCCGTAAACGTGTCTAAACAAACTTCTACCAAAGGTTTCGAGGCCAGCGTACGGTCCTCAGAAGCCAAGTTCGAGCCGTAGGAGGCTAGCATGGTCCTTTAGAGTCCGTTTTGGGACCTTAAATAGCCCAATGTGGACGTGGGGCACAAAGAAGCCAGTGCCGTAGCCCTTTTAGACCAGCGTGGGGCAATATAAGGGCAGCGCGGGTTCCTCTAAGACCAGCGGCGTGGGGTCTTCTGAGGCCAGATTGGGGCCCACTGGGAACAGGCCAGCTTGGGGCTATCTAAGGACAATGTAGGCCCTCTTAGGTTAACGTGGGGCCCTCTGTCCTCTGAAGTCTAAGGTTGGCGCTGGGCCCTCAGAGGCTGACTTTGGGCCATCAGAGGCCACCTAGAGGGCCTCGACGGTCAGACTGTAGCCCTTATGCATGTTTAACCCACGAGGCGCTGAGGGGGGCATAAAGTTCCCCCCCTTTTACGTTCTGCGGAATATCTCCGAAACCTGATAAGCTACGAATGTGAAACTCAACATAGCTTCAAATGAATACCTAGGAAATGTTTGAGCAAAATTTGGTGGTTGTAGCACGTAAGATGACGTCACAATGACGTCAAAAAATATTGTCGTTTTCCGATACGGACCGTTTCTGATGTCGCTGAGCATGAAACTCAACTGTAAATGAACTAGACAGCACCTGCTGTCATCCTGAAACACCTAAATACACTTCCATCTAGATCCTGACCAATAATCGGCCCTTTATATACGGTCCTACATATATGATATATCGCGAGGAAACTGAGAGTCGCAAATCTATAATTTTACTTATGACGTCACTGTGACGTCATTTCAGATGAAATCACCACCAAATTCTGACACAACTTCGGCTCGGTATTCAGGAAGATATGTGCAAAGTTTCGCTTCTCTATCTCGTCGCGTTGCAATGATATCGTCGCAGAAGTAAAGGGGGGCAACTATATGCCCCCCAGGCGGCCGGCGGGTGGCGCAGAGGCCCAGTGGCCGCCGGGTCCTTTAACCCTATTCCTGGCGGGGGGGGCCTCAGGAGCCCCCCCTGAGGTTTTTTGGTTATATCTCCCAAACGCGTTGAGCTAGGAAGCTCAAATTTTCTGACTTTTCCTAAAAGGCTTCTACGCAACATGTCTGAAAATTTTGAGTTGATCTGACCTCAGGTCAGGTCACCAGAGGCGGTTTGGTGACGCTACCTCAGAAAAGTTTGCAATCACGCCAGAGCTAGAGTTTTTGACCGATCAATTTCTTCTCTTCAGGGTTTAGTTAGGGTACCAGTATGTGCAATTTGTATATCTCGGAATTTTGATATCGGTGACCTAAGGTCAGGTCAATTTCGCGACCTCCCCATTATAAGTCAAAGGGGGAAAAATCAACTCCCTGTTTTTACCACTAAAACGGGTCGGAACGGCCCCATATACCATACATGACTTCATATACGATCAACCTTCACTACCTTGAGGTCTGTTTTGCTGTTGGGCAGCTGTGAGGTCATGTGACGTCATCAAAGGTCACCAAAGGTTTTTGGCCAATAACTCCGTACAGGAACAAGATACAGACGCGTGGATGGTCTCATTGTGTTCAGCTCGTCAAGACGCATCGAATGATATACATGATGACCTCGAGGTCACGTGACCTGAGGTCAACCTTTGACCTTGACCTTTCGAGGTCAACATATATATCATTCGATGCGGATTGACGAGAGGATCACGATGATGCCCTTAGTTTGTTCCTATCTTGACTAATTCGAAAGTTATTCGAGAAAAACTCTCTCCATATCCAGTGCCGCCATTTTGACTTTTTCGACCCCTGTGACGTCATCTTTGACCTGACCTGAAAATGACCTTTGTAAAAATTGTAGATCTTGGCCGTGCGTATCCGATGCCGTTTACCGCTTGTCGCTATCTTGCTTCGTTCTCGAGATCTCAGGGGGGGCCGAATCGGCCCCCCCCCCCCGCCAGTTTCTTGTCCCGGCGGAGCCCGCCAGGAATAGGGTTAAACATGGATTACACGACACTTTCATATTGTGGTCCTCAGCGACCTGACCCCTGTTACCTGACCTGGTATCAGTGACCTCAAATAGCAAAATATGTGTTTCACGCGCAATTCTTGCGCTCCTTCGGGGCGCGTGTTAACAAAAAGATCAGTTTTTTATTTTGTTTTACATTTTAGGGGATTATTCCAAAAGTCACTTTTTTAATTTGAGGTTCAAAATCAAAACAAATATATAACAAACAAGATAGCAGTTTTGTAGCGCTGCTCGTTTTATATCTTTTTGTTTCTCAACATTTTTCTTTATCTTTAAAACTTTGGGCTTGGCAGCTCCTCCCATCAAACCTCTTTTGGGTCGGAAATGCCTGAACATGACGTCACTCTGACGTCATTTGCGGCCAACCTTTCATAGACTGTGGAAAAAAAGGTAACGAGGTGTAAAAACGATTTAACCCTCGCCGGCCGAGGGGGGGGGGGGTGCCGCCCCCCCCCATAGGGATTTTTTCGCGATAGCTCCGAACACGCTGGCGATAGAGAGCTGAAACTTGGCATACCTGACCTTTGATCCAAGCCGCATCTTTTGACACCAACCGCATTTTTGGGTCAGGTCAGGTCACTGACCTATGACGTCATAAGTGAACCTTTGCACGGTCTTCAGATGTCGCAACTTCGCAACGCCCTCACTGCCAGAGAAGATGTCACAGGGAAATGAAACTTGCAGGATCTAGTATCCATTATGAGTCTCACAACTTGTATATCTCGGATTTTTCCTAAAGGTCATATGAGGTCAGGTCATTTTCGTGACCTCACCATTATAAGTCAATGGGGAAAAATGAAAACTGCTATTCTGGCGCCGGAAACGATCTCCAACTATCTCAAGCACATATAATCGTGATTTGATGCACTCCTTGCAAGGTTAGATGCGTCACTTTTGCAATGTTGACCTTCCGTGACGTCATTTATGACGTCATCAAGGTCATATTAGTTTTTCGTCAATAACTCCCGATCAAATTGAGCTAGCGAGTCGGTAAAGCCACCAATGGACTCATGAAGACCTGCCGAATCGAATGATATGCGACATGACCTCTTTCGACCAACTTCGTGACCTGGGGGTGCTGACCTGACCTTGACCTGAGGTCAACACCCTAAGTTGACCTGACCCGAACAAAAAGTATATCATTCGACGCGCCTGAGCAAGGCGAACACGATGCTGCCAAAATCGCGGCTCTGCGGCCGTTTTTTTTTTTGCGAAGTTATTCACCAAAAACTGAACCGTTCCCTGGGGAGGGTTAAAAGAGGGCTCTGAAATTTTCGCGGCGATCGGCGCATTAGTTTGAGAGATAATGCGAAACGACTGGAACGGGTGGGGGGCATAAAACACCCCCAACCAGGGCGCGGGGTAAAAAGTTTCCACTGGGTACCCTAAGGTAAAGGTAATCTCAAGATTGTGGATACGCCGCTGGATTTTCTCTACGATATTAGACTAAGAACAGTGTAAATACCGGCGACAAAACATGAAAAGGATATAGGATTGATTGACTTTCACATCGGGTTTGACAGCTTGGATAATATTTATTTGAAGCGCATTATATTTACTCCGACAGGATGTGCAAAATCTCGTCACTGCCGGGGCAACTGGCAGCCACTGCGGGACATTTGCCCCCTCCCCAGTAGCGCGGAACACCTTCAATTAACCCGCGCGGGGCTGGGGGGGGTAAATTTTACCCCCCCTCGCGAATTTTTGCGATATCTCAAAAACGGCGGCGCGCAGCGCCGCCAAACTTTCAGTACCTTTTCTTACATCAATTTGACATGTTCCCTGAAAATTTGAGCGAAATCCGTCGGAAAATTTTTGAGAAATTGACGTTTTAGTGACGTCATGTTCGCCATTTTCGCCTCAAAAACGGCAAAAGTTCAAACGCCGCTAACATCTTCATTTTTAAAGGAATCAAGACGTAACAAAAAAGGTTATACGTAATTTTACTTTGTCTATCAAATGGCTATCTCGGTTTTTTGAAAATTTTGGATTTTGGCCTAAATTTTTTCAAAAAACTGACTTTTTTGGGAAAATCATTATAAAATCCAAAATTTTGAGTCTATCGAAAAAACCGGAATATATGTCAGAGAAGTGGTCTATGTGCACCTACATACCAAATTTTAGAAGAATCGGTTCAAAAATGTGGGAGTTATTCAAAATTTTATGACGTCACGACACACAAATTTTTTGAAAAATGACTTTTTTGGAAGTTCTAGACCTCGTACGGAAACAAAAATAGCACCATTCGATTCGCCGTGAAAAACTGCATCAGATAGACACCTTTTTAGGCCTTAACAACCAACTTCAAAATTTGACCTCACTTGACCTGACCTTGACCTGACCTCGACCTGAAATTCATCCAGAGGTGGTCCATATCACTTATTGAGTGTGCCTATTGAATTCTATGAGTAAAATGACCCATAAAACATGTGTCGCACATGCCCTTTTCTATATTTCGTTTTTTGGTGACCTGACCTGACCTGACCTGACCTTGACCTTGACCTCTGAATGATATGGTATGCAACGAATATTGTCTTGGTAGCCTAAGAACACGTTTTGGGCGATCAGTCTCAGTCCATGACTCCATTCTTCGGCAACTACGGTGCAAGGCCGATACTGTAGAACCTTGCAATTTGTACCCTTGACCTGACCTTGACCTTGACCTCAAACTTTAAATTAAGTACATGTTTTTAGTAGTTCGTGATGAGAGCTTTCGATTGGCGTTTGAATTTTCCAAATCGGACCATTAGTTCGGGAGATAACAGGGGGGGTAAAATTTACCCCCCCCCAGCCCCGCGCGTTCGGCTGGAGACCCCAGCCCCGCGCGGGTTAAGGTGGGGGGGGGGGGGCATTGCCGACTTTTGGTCCCATTCTTTCCATGCAACGCCCATAGGGCTTATGTTAAAATGCCGAAATCAAGGGGACACGGTTCCCCGGTGCACCCCCCGTTCCGCCCCTTATGCCCTCTTCCCCGTTAATGCATGTAAGCACCCACATCCAAACACTCAGACGGGTACCTAGCACACAGATAAGACACACAAAGACTCACAGAATCACATCCACACCGTTACATAAACACCTATGGTCTGACAATAGACACAGACGCACAAAACACACTCAGACAACAGACACAGGGACACACAGATCCCCCCCCCCCACACACACACACAGGTCGGTCCTGCTCACCTGATATTCGCCGCCTCCGCCGTGGTCGGCTCCGGTGGACAGAGCTCAGTACCGTCCACACACTGTTGGACCACCCGCTCTGTTGACTGACCGGCCGGTGGACGCAGTGCAGCTCGTGCGGCTCCCGCTCCTCCGTCGGCCTTTGTCCCTGTCTGGAACTGCGCCGAACATCAACACCGCGAGTCGGTGTGTCGGCAGAATCGATCGTGTTCAGTGAGTCGGCGGCGCGGTGTCCTGGCCTGATGACGTCAGTGGGGGGTCACCAGGGTTACAGGGACAACACGGGCCGCCGGTCGATGTGCAGTCCCCCCCTCCCCTTCCCTTCCCTTCCCCAGTCCCCGGGACAACTCATGCAACTCGGCAAAACAAAACATAGTGACGAGCAGACATGTGCAGGGATGGAAGAGGCGTGTCTATGATCTCAGTGGATATCTCGACAAAATGGAGGGTTCAGACCTACATCTCATCCCTCGCCCGGTCAGGGGTTGGGGAGGGGGAGATTGATCAACCCTCGCCCGCACATGGGAGGGGGGTGGTAACCACCTTCCCCCCCCCCGGTAGTCTTTCTGCTCTGCACTCAACATTGTTAGAGCTAGAAGTCTGATTTTTCGTATAGCTGCTCCTCTATCCTTTCTTGAAGTTTCTGTGGTTTTTGGCTCGGAGATATGGCCTTGTTTTTCAGGTCATGTCATGACCCAAATGACCAATTCTCAACATCTTGCGTTGGCTATGGGCCTTGTGAGCTTTTGACACCTTGCTTTCGGCCTTTTTTTGCCAGTCTTACCTCCCACCTATCATGGATGATGGAACATGTTGTTCGACGATGTACAGATGTCAAGGTCAGGGTCAAGGTCAGCCTAGGCCATCTAAAGTAATTGCGTTTTAGGCAGGCTGAATTCACTTTTCGTGAAGTTTTTTGACTGCATTTTTGGTAAAAGCTTCTCAGATCATGATTTCATGTAATATGGACACATAAACAATCGGTGCACATATCAGTATACACACAGACACACACAGACATACAAACACATATCATTGACCTTGACCTAACTTGACCTGAAATGACCTCAGCAGCAAAAATATGGTCGGGTAGTGTGACAAAGAGGTTCTAGCTGGATTAGCACCAGAAAACGGCATCGTCATCGGTATATGATTAGCAGCGCACTTGATATCCAACGGTGACCCAACGGTGACCAGCGGTGACAACGATGACGAGGGTTAACCCTCGCCGGACCTATTGGTTTTCTACATACGCGCCGGCCGAGGGGGGGGGGCGGGTACGACCCCCCCCCCTCGCCGTTTCGCCCCTGGTGGAGCTAGCGCGTCGCGGAAAAAAACGAGCGTGTGCGCCGTTACGAGAAGCAGAGATTGGTACCCGATTTTAAGGTCCTAGGTCAACCGGTGACTTCTGAGGTCAGGTCAAGTGCCCCAGGGTACGGTTCAGTTTTTGGTGAATAACTTTGCAAAAAACGGTCGCAGAGCCGCGATTTTGGCAGCATCGTGTTCGCCTTGCTCAGGCGCGTCGAATGATATACTTTTTGTTCGGGTCAGGTCAACTTAGGGTGTTGACCTCAGGTCAAGGTCAGGTCAGCACCCCCAGGTCACGAAGTTGGTCGAAAGAGGTCATGTCGCATATCATTCGATTCGGCAGGTCTTCCTGAGTCCATTGGTGGCTTTCCCGACTCGCTAGCTCAATTTGATCGGGAGTTATTGACGAAAAACTAATATGACCTTGATGACGTCATAAATGACGTCACAGAAGGTCAACATTGCAAAAGTGACGCATCTAACCTTGCAAGGAGTGCATCAAATCACAATTCTGTGTGCTTGAGATAGTTGGAGATCGTTCCCGGCGCCAGAATAGCAGTTTGAATTTTCCCCATTGACTTATAATGGTGAGGTCACGAAAATGACCTGACCTCATATGACCTTTAGGAAAAATCCGAGATATACAAGTTGTGAGACTCATAATGGATACTAGATCCTGCAAGTTTCATTTCCCTGTGACATCTCCTCTGGCAGTGAGGGCGTTGCGAAGTTGCGACATCTGAAGACCGTGCAGAGGTTCACTTATGACGTCATAGGTCAGTGACCTGACCTGACCCAAAAATGCGGTTGGTGTCAAAAGATGCGGCTTGGATCAAAGGTCAGGTATGCCAAGTTTCAGCTCTCTATCTCCAGCGTGTTCGGAGCTATCGCGAAAAAACCCTATGGGGGGGGGGGCGGCACCCGCCCCCCCCCCCCTCGGCCGGCGAGGGTTAACCCGCGACCGCCTGGGGGGGGGGGTCGGATCCGACCCCCCCTCCGTTTTTCTTGAATACCTCAAGAACCGCTTACGCTATCAACTTGAAACTTGGCATACCTTCTCCCCTATCAGTTTGACGTCTCCTGTGTAATTTTTAAGATTTAAAAAAATAATTAGGTATATCGATTTTAGTGATGTAACTACATGACGTTTTTAGTCAAAAAATGGTAAATGTTTAAAAAATCGCCAAAAATCAGGGTTTAAAGCAAATTGCAAATTAAGGAAATTAATAGACGCAGCTCAACGAGTTCTTTACAATGGCCATCTCGGATTTTCCATAAAGTGCGTTTTTCACCCCTCAAAATTCAAAAAACTATTTTTTGGAAAACAGCTAATAAAATCCAAAATTTTGGGAATTTCCAAAAAAAACGCAATATATGTTATAGAGCTCTAGTAGAACATTAGATGTCGCAAATTTCAACTTTCTATCTTAATTTTTTTACCCCCAAATTGTAAAAATAGCTCCAACACGCATAGGGCATGGTGACGTCATAAGCATTTTCGTGAATTAGAAGCATTTCTGAAAATCGCATGTGAAAACAAATGGCACCACTAGATTCCTGGGACAAAGCTGGTCTAGAAAAGTGCATTTTTATGTCAAAAATAAAAAGTTGAAAAATTGACCCTTTTTCTCAGCCCTCGTTTAGTTATGTGTGGTAAAAACAATTCTTTATGCTTTCAATGCACACTTATCTCCAGCACAGTGACTTGGGGTCACACATAACCATTACCATCGGATTCGGCGTGAAAAATAAGCCATAAAACATGTGTCGCACGCCCATGTAGCAGACAGTGAAAACCGTGACCTTTCGTGACCTGACCTGACCTTGACCCGTACTTAGTATGACCCCAATACGCACATGGTACCTTCACTAGGTCTTTGAGGTCATTTTTGGTGAGTTTCGAGCAGCAGCTAACGATTCCGCTGTCCGTAAGCCTAATCATGCAAAACCCCAGAATTTGACATTTGACCTGACCTTGACCCGAAAGTTGACCTCAATCTTAAAATCTTAACCCTCGCCGGACCTATTGGTTTTCTACATACGCGCCGGCCGAGGGGGGGCGGGTACGACCCCCCCCCTCGCCGTTTCGCCCCTGGTGGAGCTAGCGCGTCGCGGAAAAAACGAGCGTGTGCGCCGTTACGAGACGCAGAGATTGGTACCCGATTTTAAGGTCCTAGGTCAACCGGTGACCTCTGAGGTCAGGTCAAGTGCCCCAAAGTACGGTTCAGTTTTTGGTGAATAACTTCGCAAAAAACGGCCGCAGAGCGCCGATTTTGGCAGCATCGTGTTCACCTCGCTCAGGCGCGTCGAATGATATACTTTTTGTCCGGGTCAGGTCAACTTGGGGTGTTGACCTCAGGTCAAGGTCAGGTCAGCACCCCCAGGTCACGAAGTTGGTCGAAAGAGGTCATGTCGCATATCATTCGATTCGGCAGGCCTTCCTGAGTCCATTGGTGCCTTCCCCGACTCGCTAGCTCAATTTGATCAAGAGTTATTGACGAAAAACTAATTTGACCTTGATGACGTCATAAATGACGTCACGCAAGGTCAACATTGCAAAAGTGACGCATCTAACCTTGCAAGGAGTGCATAAAATCACGATTCTGTGTGCTTGAGATAGTTGGAGATCGTTCCCGGCGCCAGAATAGCAGTTTTCATTTTTCCCCATTGACTTATAATGGTGAGGTCACGAAAATGACTTGACCTCATATGACCTTTAGGAAAAATCCGAGATATACAAGTTGTGGGACTCATAATGGATACTAGATCCTGCAAGTTTCATTTCCCTGTGACATCTCCTCTGGCAGTGAGGGCGTTGCGAAGTTGCGACATCTGAAGACCGTGCAGAGGTTCACTTATGACGTCATAGGTCAGTGACCTGACCTGACCCAAAAATGCGGTTGGTGTCAAAAGATGCGGCTTGGATCAAAGGTCAGGTATGCCAAGCTTCAGCTCTCTTTCGCCAGCGTGTTCGGAGCTATCGCGAAAAAACCCTATGGGGGGGCGGCATCCGCCCCCCCCCCCCTCGGCCGGCGAGGGTTAAGAGTGCTTTGGGAAGGTCTCGTAGATACCTTTCGTACGCCGCCTCGCGGGGCTCGATGCTACCATTGGTTCTCGAGATAACAGGGGGGGGGGGTCGGATCCGACCCCTTCCCCCGGCTGTCGTGGGTACGGAATTAGCCCAGGTGGTGCAGGGTTAAGCGGGAGGTGGGGGGAATGAAAAGCTTTTATACATAAATAAGTAAAAGTCTATTCTTGAATGAAATGGAAACGGTTAACCCGCGCCCTGCTGGGGGGGGGGGGTTAACACCCCCTCCCCCTGTGGTTTTTGGCACACTTTATCATGCATCAATTCTACACATGTTGTAAAAATTTCAGACCAAGGTCATTCAAGGTCAGGTCACCAGGTCACTTGATGTGACCCCACCTCATAAAAAGTTTCAATGTCTGCCATAGCTACACCGAGTGACCAATCGCTTTGAAACTTTCAGCGATTGCTAAGAACTATAGTATGTACAAAATGTATTTCTCAGAATTTTGATATCGATGACCTAAGGTCAGGTCAATTTTGCGACCTCCCCATTATAAGTGAATGGGAGAAAATTGAAAGGCGCTTTTTTGGACGAAAGCCATTATAAACACTCCCAAACACTGAATAACAAGTAACTAAGACACACTGAAGATGACAATAGTATCCGTGACCCCTGTTTATGCCCTTGAGGTCATTTCAGGTCAAGGATGGTATCTAACAGTTTTTCACGAAAAACTTTTGATAGAGGCGTGCTTAAGCGATGAAA